ACACCACAACTTCTGGATACAACACACCACCCGATACTCAACAGGCTTCTTTCCCAAGCCTAACTTGAAATAGTCGTATTATTCAAACCCCTCCGTGTACAACACACCACTTAATTACTCCACAAGTTTCGTGAACAACGCGCCACCTGGTACTCAACAAGCTCCCTCCCAAAGCTTAGTTTGAAACGCATCAAGCATAACACCCAGGTACTCCACAGCTTCGTGTCGAACACCGCACGCGATACTCAACTGGCTCCCTCCCCACGCCTAACTCGGAACAGTTCGTTTTACTCCACCCCCGTCTCCAACACAACACCCAATAATCGGCAGCCTTCGTGTACAACGCACCATCGGATACTCAACCGGCCCCTTCCCCAAGCTTAATTTCATAAAGTCCTCTTACTCAACTCCCTTCGTGTCCAACACAACACCCAGGTACTCCACAGCCTTCGGTTTACAATACGCCACCCGATACTCAGAAGGCTTCCGCTCCATGCTTAAACTGAAACAGTCCTTCTACTCACCCCCCCCGTGTCCAACACAACACCCTGGTTTTCGACAGCCTTCGTGTACAACACACCACCCGATGCTCAACAGCTGCCCCTCCCCAAGCATAGCTTGAAACAGATCCTTCTACTCAGTTCTCTCCGTGTCCAAAACATCACCCAGGTACTCCACAGCCTTCGCGTGCAATATACCAGCCGATATTCAGCAGGTTCCATCGCTCAGCCGAACTTGAAAAGATCTTTGCACTTCACTCCCTCCGTATCCAACACAACATCCCATAATTCACAGCCTTCGTGTACAACGCACCACATGCTATTCAACAAGTCCCCTCATCGAACCTACCTTGGACAGCACAGCACAACACCGTCCCAGCACAGCACCCAAGTCCCCTTCATCTTTCTTGTGCAAGACACCACCCGGTACTCAACAAGCTCCCTCCCAGAGCCTGTTTTCCAAATTTTGTTTGTTCAAGTGCACCCGCGTCCAACACAACACCCAAAAACTTCACAACCTTCGTGTCGCAAACCGCACCCGATAATCAACTGGCTCCGTCCCCAAGCCTAACTCGAAGAGAGGATCTACTCAACTCCGTCTGTGTCCAACAAACACAGCACCTGCATACCCCAGAGCCTTCGTGTACTACGCACCACGAAATTCGGGCCGGGCGAAAGGGGGGGATTGGGAAAGGGGGGGTTACGAAATTTGCTGCATGCAGCTGATTTCGGCCTCACCGAGGGGCCCATTCCTCGATACATAGCGCCTCCGGCGCCGGGAGGCGCCGGGAAAATCAGCTACGCGAGCTGATTCTCAAACCCCCCCTTTGCTATCCCCCCCTTTCGCCCGACCCGAGAAATACTCTCCTCCTCGAGCCTAAGTTGAAAAGTCTTTCTACTCGACTCCCTCCGTGTCAAGCACAACACCGAGGTATTCCGCAGCCTTCGTGTACAACACACCGCCTGATGTTCAACATGCTCCATCCCAAACACCCTTATATCAAACTCCTTCCATGTACAACACAACGCGCAGGTACTCCACAACCTCGTGTATAGCACACCACCTGTTAGTCAACAGGCCCCCTCCCAAGACCCAATTTGGAAACATCTTTCTCTCAACCCCCTCCGCGTCCAACACAACACCGGAGTACTCCATAGCCTTCGTGTACAACATACCACCCGATACTCAACGGTCACGGTTCTGGTTCTGGTTCCAGAATCGTTTTTTTGGTTCCGGGATCGGCAAAAACAACAGGGGTCACGGTGTTGGTTCAGGTTCAGGTTCCGGTTTGGATTTTTTCTTCTGCCCCCGAAGGAGACCTTTTGGTCACGGTTTTGGTTTCTTCTTCTTCCCACCTGGAAGACGACCCCCAGGTCACAGCTTTGGTTCTGGCTTTGGTTCAGGTTTAGGTTTCCTTTTTCTTCTGGCCCTGAAGAAGGCCCACAGGTCACGATTTTGGCTTTGGTTCTGGTTCCGGTTTAGGGTTCCTTCTTCTTCTTCTTCCAGCCTCGAGAAGATCCCCAGTTCGGTTCCCGTTCCGGTTCCGTTTTTCTTCTTCTGGCCCAGAAGAAGACCCCCAAGGTCACGGTTTTGGTTGCGGTTTTGGTTTCAGTTCGGTTTTTTTCTTTTTCTTCCAGCCTCGCAGAAGACTCCTTGGTCCCTGTTTTGGTTCCGGTTCCAGTTCCGGTTCCAGTTTCTTGCTTCTCCCAGTTCGAAAGAAGACCCCCCACGTCACGGTTTTGGTTCTGGTTTTGATTCCGGTTTTGGTTCTTTTCTTCTTCCAACCTCGAAGAAGACCCCCCCATGTCACGGTTCTGGTTCTGGTTTTGGTTCGGGTTCGGGTTCCTTCTTCTTTAGGATGCGAACAAATACCCCCCAGGTCTTGGTTTTGGTTTTGGTTCTGGTTTTTGTTCAGGTCTCCTTCTTCTTTTGGCCTGGAAGAAGACCCCCCAATTCACAGTTTTGGTTCCTGTTCCGGCCTCTGTTCCCCAATCAGAGCTTGCCTCTGTAGGGGTCCTAGCGGATTTAAAGGTAGGTGAGGTGTGCCGCCGATTCGGTGGCCGGGCCCAGGTGCCCGGGTGCCCGGGTGCCCGGGTGCCCGGGTGACGGGTGCCCGGGTTCGCCGCCGATTCGGTGGCCGGGCCCGGATGCCCGGGTGGCCAGGTGCCCGGGTGCCCGGGTTCGCCGCCGATTTGGTGGCCGGGCCCGGCTGCCCGGATGTCCGGGTGCCCGGGTGCCCGGGTGACGGGTGCCCGGTGCCCGGTTGGGTGCCTGGGTGCCGGGTGCCGGGTGCCCGGGTGCCCGGTGCCCTGCAGCCTTATAGCCTTATAGTCATATATCCCTATCGCCCTATCGCCCTATAGCCCTATAGCCCGATAACCCATGTAGCCATGTAGCCCATATAGCGCCCAGGAGCCCATATAGCCCTGTAGCCCTATAGCCCTACAGCCCTAAAAAGATTATGATTGGGTTTTTCTCTGGTATCATGGATTCATATGGTTGGGTGAGGTTCGTCGCCGATTTCGGTGGCCGGCCCGGGTGCCCGGGTGCCCAGGGGTGCCCGGGTGCCCGGGTGCCCAGGTGCCCGGGTGCCCGGGTGCTCAGGTGGTCAGGTGCTTGGGTGCCAGGTAGCATTATAGCCCTATAGCCTTACAGCCTTATAGCCCTCTAGCCCTATAGCCCTCTAGCCCTATAGCCGTATAGCCCTATAGCCATATTGTCCCTATAGCCCTGTAGCCTAATAGCCGTATAGCCCTACTAGCCCTATAGCCTGATAGCCTTATAACCCTATAGCCCTATAGCCCTATAGCCCCATATCCATGTAGCCCTATAACCCCATGGCCTCATAGCCTTATAGCCCGAAAAAGATTATGATTGGGCTTTTCCTCGAGTATCATTTCGTTCTTTTTCGGTGTGCGGACAGAAGAAAGCCCAGGTCACGGTTTGGGTTCCGGTTCCGGTTCCGGTTTCGATTTATTTCTTCTTCCAGCCTCGCAGAATATTGATCGGTCACGATTCTGGTTCTGATTCTGGTTCTGGTTCAGGTTTGGATTTTTCTCCAGCCTCGCAGAAGACCCCCCAGGTCACGGTTTTGGTTCCGGTTCTGGTTTTCTTCTTTTTTGGGTTGCGGGAAAAAGCCAGGTCACAGTTCAGGTTTTGGTTTTGGTTATGGTTTCGGTTTTTTCTTCTTCTTGCAGTCTCGCATAAGACTCTTTGGTCACGGTTCCGGTTCCGCTTTTGGTCCTGGTTTCGGTTTGTTCTTCTTCTTGTGGCCTGGAAGAAGTAACGGTTCTGGTTCTGGGTCCCGTTCAGGTTTTGGTTTTCTCCGTCATCCAGCTTCGAAGAAGACCCCCCAGGTCACGGTTCTGGTTCCCGTTCTGGTTCGGGTTTTGGTTTCCTTCTCCTTCGGTGTACGGAAAAAGACCCCTCAGGACTCGGTTTTGGTTCTGGTTCCGGTTTCGAGTTCGGTTTCTTTCTTCTAGCCTCGCAGAAGACTGCTTGGTCACGGTTCTGGTTCTGGATCTGGTTCCAGATTCGGTTACTTTCTTCTTCTTCTGCTGGCCCAGAAGAAGACCCCACAGGTCACGGTTCTCATTTCGGTTCTGGTTCCGGTTTGGGTTTCTTGTTTCTTCCAGCTTCGAAGAAGACCCCCCAGGTCGCGGTCCTGGTTCTGGTTCTGGTTGCAGTTCCGGTTTCCTTCTTCTTCATCGGGGCGTGGAAAAAGACCCCCCAGTCACGGTTTTTGTTATGCTTCCTGTTTCGGGTTTGGTGCCGGTTTTGGTCTTTTTCTTCTGTTTCGGTCGGTCACAGTCGGCCAGGCTTTGGTTTCGGTTATGTTTTTGGTCCCGGTTTTCTTTTTTTCTTCCAGCCCATAAAGAAGACCCCCCAGGTCACGGTTTTGGTTCCGGTTCTGGTTTTGGTTCCGGTTTCCTTCTTCTTCCGGCCCGGGAGAAGATCCCCCAGGTCACGTTTCTGGTTCTGGTTCTGGTTCCGGTTTTGGTTCCGGTTTCTTTTTTTTTCTCAGGTGCCATGAGTTCTCGCGGTTTTGGTTCTGGTTCTGGTTCCAGTTCGTGTTCTTCTTCTTTGGGCGCTCTTTGATTCGGATTTTGGTTCCAGTTTTGGTTCCAGTTCTGGTTCCGGTAGCGGTTCCAGTTTTTGGTTCCAGTTCTGGTTTGGTTCTGGTTCCAGTTTTGGTTCCAGCTCTGGTTCCAGAGCCTGCAGGTCTGCAGCGGCCGCTCCGGGGCACGAGGCCGCGGCCGATGCGGAGGAGCGCGGGCGCACGCCCTCCGGGAGGGCAGCGGGGGCCCTCGGGGCCTGCGGCGGCGGCGGTCGAGGCGGCGCTGGTGGTGAGCGGCGGCGGCGACGTCGGCCGTGGCGGCAAAGGTCGAGGCGGTGGCGGTGATGAGCGGCGGCGGCGGCGTCGGCCGTGGCAGCGGAAGTCGAGGCGGCGCTGGTGGTGAGCGGCGGCGGCGGCGGCGTTGGCGGCCGTGGCCTCCAAGGTCGTGTGCGCGGCCGCTCTGCTCCTGTTCGCCCCAGCCTTCGTGCCGGGGCCCGTGGCCGGCGAGAGCCCGGCACTGCGCGGGGGCGCGCCGGTGGCCGCGGCGGCAGTGCGCGGGGCTCTGCGCGTGCGGCGCTGCGCGGCAGTCAACGATCGGCCGTGCACGCGGAAGCTTGCTCGCGTGCGCGTACGTGCGCCGCGAATGCGTAGCTCGCCGCCTGATCATCATGACGAGTCCGTGTGCGTGTCAGTCAGGCGCAAACGCGCGATTCCAGCGTGGGCGTGTGCAGGCCGTGCGGTGTAATGTTTGCGGTGCCATCGGTGTTGCTCAAATTTTCACACCTACACTTTGCATATGGAGAGATCGTAGTCGGGCAATGCTGCTTGTCCTGATCGCCGGTGCCAGACGCGGCTCGGGAACTTAGTCAAGCATTGATCTGGACCATCGGAGACCGATGTTGAGTGGACTTGGCGGCATGGACAGTTGTTGTTGTTGTCGTTGTCGTTGTTGTTGTCGTTGTCGCTGTTCTTCTTCTTGTTGTTGTTGTTGTTGTTGAACATTATTACTTCTAAAGAATAATTATTGTTGGGACCCCTGGTGCATGGCCCCCCCGCCGCGCCTAGGCCGCAGCCACGTTTTCATCATTTTCGTGAGGAAGTCTCAGGTAAAACGATGTCATCCAGATCCGGTTGTGTTGTTACGATCGGTTTTCCCTTGCAAAAAATAAGCAAAAGTGGACATTTCTTGTTCTAACATATCCAAACTTCAAGAATCCCTTGCAAAAAATAAGGTAAAATTGACATTCGCGCACGCAAGACGGAATCCTTCCAAAACTTAGTTTTCGACATAAAAACATCAAAAAACCAATGGTTTTTCAAACAAAAATTGTCAACATTTCATCCCGCGCGCTCTTGCGGATTCGTAGGAAACCCAACACTTTTTAATCATTTCTGTCAAACGGGCTTTTGCGAGCAACTTTTTCGAACTTCTGCAACAACGGTTGCGCACCTGCCAGGGCCATCATCCCTGTCAAATAATACCATGCGGGACACATTCGTTTTTTCTTCGCGCGCGCACGCCGTCGTCGTCGGCCGCGGGGGCCCTGAATAGTAGCCACGGTCGTCCGCATGCCACGAAGTGAAGTGTCCGAACGTCATAGGGCGGGAAGCTGGGTGTGGGTGGTGGCGAAGAGTCGTTTGGAAATTTGGTAGAGCTTGAACCGGCCCCCCCACAAAGTGGGGGTATTGCCCGCCTCCTATGAAAACCCTGGCACTGGTGAGAACGGTGTGTCCCCACGTGCTAGTAATTGTTGTTGTTGTTGTTGTTGTTGTTGTTGTTGTTGTTGTTGTTGTTGTTGTTGTTGTTGTTGTTGTTGTTGTTGTTTTTTGTTGTTGTCGTTGTCGTCGTCGTTGTTGTTAATGTTGTCGTTATTGCTGCTGCTGTTGTTGTTGTTGTTCTTGTTGTTGTTGCTGCTGACGCTGTCGTTGTTGTTGGTGTTGTTGTTGTTGTTGTCGTCGTCGTCGTCGTCGTCGTCGTTGTTGTTGTTGTTGTTGTTGTTGTTGTTGTTGTTGTCGTTGTCGTTGTTGTTGTTATACTGGTTGTTGCTGCTGCTGCTGTTGTTGTTGTTTTTGTTGTTGTTGCTGCTGCTGCTGTTGTCGTTGTCGTTGTTGTTGTCGTTGTCGTTGTTGCTAATGTTGTCGTTATTGCTCCTGCTGAAGCTGCTGCTGTTGTTGTTGCTGCTGCTGCTGTTGGTGTTGGTGTTGGTGTTGGTGTTGGTGTTGTTGTTGAATATTATTCCTTCTAAAGAATTATTATTGTTGGGACCCCTGGTGCGCGACCTCTGCGCCGCGCCTAGGCCGCAGCTACATTTTCATCATTTTTTCGCGAAAGCTTCAGAAAAGTGGATTATGTCCGGATCCGGTTGTTTTGTTCCCCCGTTTTCCCTTGCAAAAAAACAATAGAAAATGAAAATTCTTGTTTTACTTGATCAAATTTGCAAGAATCCCTTGCAAAAAATAAGGTAAAGTGGACATTCGCGCGCGCAAGACGAAATCCTTCCAAAACCTTAGGTTTCGTAACGATTTTAACATAAAAACATCAAAAACCCAATGGTTTTTTAAGAAAAAATTGTCAAAATGTCCTTCCGCGCGCGCTGTCCGAATCCCACAAAACCAATGGTTTTTCAACATTTATGTTACATGAGCTCGCGCGAGCTACTTTTTCTTGTTCTAACATAATCAAATTTCAATAATCCCTTGCAAAAAATAAGGTAAAGTGGACATTCGCGCGCGCAAGACGAAATCCTTCCAGAACCTTAGGTTTCGTAACGATTTCAACATAAAAACATCAAAAAACCCACTGGTTTTTCAAAAAAAAAATGTCCAAATTTCATTCCGCGCGCGCTGTCCGACTCTGGTTTTTCAACATTTATGTTACATGAGCTCGCGCGAGCTACTTTTTCTTGTTCTAACATAATCAAATTTCAATACTCCCTTGCAAAAAAAAAGTAAAGTGGACATTCGCGCGCGCAAGACCAACAAAAAACACGACGATCTCAGGAACTTGCCCCAAAAATGTGACCAACTCCGCTCTCTCTGTCTCTCTCTCTGTCTGCTCTCTGTCTCTCTCTCTGTCTGTCTGTGTCATGTATTGTATGTCACAATTGCAGGATGCTGGGCACACGCGCGCCCCGAATAAGTGACCAAGTTCTGTGGGTGTGTACCCCACGCCAGTGTAGTAGCCACGGTCGTCCGCACGCCACGAAGTGAAGTGTCCCAACGTCATAGGGCGGGAAGCTGGGTTTGGGTGGTCGCGAAGAGTCGTTTGGATATTTGGTAGAGCTTGAACTGCCCCCCCACGAAGTGGGGGTAGTGTCTCGCGTCGCATGAAAACCCTGGCACTGGTGAGAACACTGAGCGTTCGGGTAAAATGATTGTTGTTGTTGTTGTTGTTGTTGTTGTTGTTGTTGTTGTTGTTGTTGTTGTGGTAGTAGTTGTTGCTGTTATTGAACTCTCACTGCTGAATTCTGATAATTGTTGATGCCTCCCCTCTGGTGACCAATGTATTTTTCAATTGAAATGCTCTCCCGCAGGGCTCGCACCCTGTTTCTTATCAGGGAAGTCACGGGGCGCAAACTGCGGTGTTTGCCCCCACTTAACAACAACAACGGCTCCCGCTGGACTTTTTCTCAACGTATTCCAATCGCGCTAACGCGCGGGACTTCCTCACAGTTTATTCAGATGATGCGCCCTCTGTGCTCAGGAATCGCGCTTTCGCTCTTGCTTCTCACGATTCACTTGGGAATCGCGCAATCGCTCGAGATTTCCTCGCGATTCATGCAGGACCCACGGCTTCAGCAACCCGCCTGCTCGACCTGGTCGCCTGGGCCCGCCTTCTCGACCTGCCCGCTATCGGTCTGCCCACCCGATCTGCCCGTCTGGTTCTACCACTTGTGTTCTGCTCCTTGCCCCCCTCTTGCTAATTTCTCTCGTGCTCCATTATTCTCCCTCCCCCTTCCACCCGTGTTCTCTTCCCTTGCTGTAGGGGCTGCGCTACGTGCACGTGGCAGATAAGGGAGCTATACCCCCAAGGGGGTACGATCGAAGACGACGAGGGCGGGTACCGAGGGTTCGGGATATGCGTATTGATTAGCACGTGAGCAGATAGGAGCGAACAGACTTAAAATGCTTGTTGTTGTTGTCTTTGCCGCTGTCGTTGTCGTTGTCGTTGTCGTTGTTGTTGTTGTTGTTGTTGTTGTTGTTGTTGTTGTTGTTCTCGTTGCTGCTGCTGCTGTTGTTGTGGTTGTCGTTGTCGTTGTCGTTGTCGTTGTTGTTGTCGTCGTCGTCGTCGTCGTCGTCGCTGTTGTTGTTGTTGTTGTTGTTGTTGTTGTTGTTGTTGTTGTTGTTGTTGTTGTTGTTGTTGTTGTTGAACTCTCACCATGGAATAATTATTGTTGATCGCCCCCCTCAGGTGGCCACCGCACTTTTTCAATTGAAGTGCTTCCCCCGAGCCTCGCACCTTTGGTTTCTCAGGGAAAGTCACCGGGCTCAAACTGTGCCGTTGGCACCCGGTTTACAACAACAGCGGCTCTCGGGAGTTTTTTCTCACAATTTATTCCCAAATCGTGCTCTAGCGTGGGACTTCCTCACAAGTTGTATACGAATCGCGCTCTCACGTAGGACTTCCTCGCAGGTTATTCAGACGATGCGCCATCGGCGATCAGGAATCACGCTCTCGCTTTTTGGTTTTCTCACGAATTACTTGGGAATCGCGCTATCGCTCGAGACTTCCTCGCGATTCATGCAGGACCCACGCTTCAGCAACCCGCCTGCTCGACCTGGTCGCCTGGGCCCGCCTTCGTGACCTACCCGCTATGGGTCTGCCCACCCGATCTGCCCATTTGGTTCTACCTCTTGTTTTCTGTTCCTTGCCCCCCCTCATGTTAATTTCTTTCGTGCTTCATTATTCTCCCTCCCCCTTCCGCCTGTCTTCTCTTCCCTTGTTTTAGGGGCTGCACTAAATGCACGTGGCAGGTAGGGGGATGTACCCCCAAGGGGGTATGATCGAAGACGACGAGGGCGGTTACCGAGGGTTTGGGATATATGTATTGATTGGCACGTGAGCAGATAGGAGCGGAGCAGTCTTAACATGCTTGTTGTTGTTGAGCACTCATTTTTGAAGAATAATTTTTGTTGATCCCCCCCACCGCTGCATACTGTTTTTTTCTCATTCCCTACCTAGGCTCTGCCTAGAAGGGTTCTTACTCTGTAGCTTAAAGGGGCCGGGCAGTGTAACCCGCCCCAGGCGGTTCCCCCAGTCCCCTGGGAGCCAAGCAAAAGCAACAGCAAAGGTAAAAGCAAACGCGCGGTTCCCCCAGTTGCGCTCCCTGGGTGCCAAGCAAAAGCAAAAGCAAAGGCAAAAGTGAAGGCAAAAGCGAAGGCAAAGCAAACACATAGCATAGCATAGCATAGCATAGCATAGCATGGCGCAGCATAGCATAGCGCATCATAGCATAGCATAGCATAGCATAGCATAGCATAACCTAGCCTAGCCTAGCCTAGCCCAGCATAGCATTGCGCAGCATAGCATAGCATAGCATAGCATAACCCTG